CCTATGTTAGCAATATTGGTCTAAAATTTTCTTTTTTGGTAGTGTCTTTGGTTTTGCTTTAGAGTGATGCTGGACTCATAGAATTAGTTTGGAAGTGGAAGTAGCCCCTCCTCCTCTACCTTTTGAAATACTATAAGAAACATGGGTATTAGTCTGTCTTGGAATGTTTGGCAGAATTTAGCTGCGAAGCCATCTGCTCCTGGAATATTTTTTTGGGGGAGATTTTAATTACCAATTCAATTTCATTGCTGGTAACTGGTCTGTTCAGATTTTCTGTTTCTTCCTGGATCAGTCTTGGAAAGTATTATTCTCGGAAAGTGTCCAAGAAATTCAATTTGTATAACCACCCTATGAGATGGGAGATGGGTACTACATTGTTATAGTTTTACAGAATGGAAAATGCAGGCACATAGAGTTTAAGTAAGATTACACAGCAATTAAGTGATGGAGTCAGGATCCAAGTACAGATTCCAATGCCCCAGAGCCCATATTCTTAACCATTGCGTTGTGTTGTACAGGCTTTGGATGTAGAGAGAGCCAGTTGTAAGATCTGGTTCTAGCACTTACTTAGGCCTTGGGCAAGTCAATTAACTCCTTTATCCAAAAAATTAGGATAATGTTACTTATTATCTTGATGTGAAATTTAAGGGAAAGAGTAAACATGGTACATACCTAACATAGTGCCTTGTACACAGAATGCAAGCAACAGGCGATAGTGAGCGTTACCATCAGTGCTGTAGTCACCCAGCAAACTGTTTTCCAACCTAGAAGGGGTAAGGCACTGTCACTTTTTTGTAATGCTGAAAAAAAGTCTTGAGACAATCTGATTTCCCTCCCCTTCTACTTTTTCTCTTTTTAGGGAAAACCAAGACCAGAATTAACCTGGAAGAAGGATGGTGTAGAAATTGATAAGAATCAAATAAACATTCGCAACTCTGAGACTGATACAATCATATTTATCAGAAAAGCAGAGAGGAGCCACTCTGGGAAATATGACCTGCAAGTCAAAGTGGAGAAATTCGTGGAAAGTGCATCAATCGATATCCAGATTGTTGGTAGGTTTGAAAGAAGGAACTAGAATGTCCTATTGAAGTAATATTTGGACTGATTGTCCTTGTCGTCAAGGCAAGAGTAAGAATTTTGGTTAGGCTGCCTCTAGAAAAAATTCTTTTCCCTGGAATTTTCTAAAAATAGCTATAGTAGTGAGATTTGTTAGCATTTCAAAATAATTTTTCACTGACTATAAGGACTAATCATCAGAGACTTAGGGCATAAATTTGCATACTTTTTACTGCCAACCATCTGTACTGCTTTATAGTTCATTTCTTATTCTGTTTCTCAACTGCTGGAAGATTAAAGTATTTCCTGCATTGAATTCTTGCATACAAAGCATTATAGATTCTATAAATAGTTTAGCATGTTTCTTACCATTCCTAAAAGTTGGTAATAATAATCAAAAAGAGGTACCTAAATGAGGTTAAGTAGTTAAACACTGAGTTAGTTGATACCACAGGGCTAGCTAGTTACTTACCTGTCCAAATAATAAATCTGTTTAGTTCTCATTTCTGTCCAGAATTAGGGGAATAGAGGGAATCTCTTCATGTGAACTGTTCTAGAATTTTTGCAGTGTCAAAAAATAAATTTAAGAGCACAGCTAGGAAAAAAAATGACTTTGCAGTCATTTTAAAATTAACATTTCAGCAAATTTACTGACACTAGAGATTTTCTCTCCAAAGGAACAACTTCCTGGGACAAGCTTTCCCTTGGGTGAAAGTTTATGCCCTTTAAACTAAGCATGCTTTTCTTACTAGCTAAATCATCTTGATTTCTGAAAAGTTGAGGGGAGTGTTGAGCTACCCTGTGCCCTTGGCTCTGGCCTGGCTCTATTCTAATGGAAGCTCCCACGGAAGGGTCTAGAAGAGCAGTGCTTTCTGAAACATGGGGAAGGAGTTTTTTTTTTCTACTTTGCTATGTAATTGCTTTACCAGGTAGTTATAAGCGCCTGGCTCATTACTTGCACAATTAAAGTGTTCAGGGAATAGTAACTATTATTCTAATTATTTCTTAATTCCAAGTATATGTGTCTGCCACGGCTAAAAATCTAGCAATGCCATTTACTGTTAAGCAGCAAGTGTTTGAAAAATCAATGTGAGCACTGAAGACAAAGCTGGACATGGGCTGCAGGATGGACTGGGAAAGGCCAGGCTCTCTGTAGGATGAATGGGTGAAAACAGGAGATAGAAAGCTGTGGTGGTAGAAACTCGTGGTTTCTGATTGTGGAAAGAAAGGGAGGTTTATCGCTGTGGGATCCCTCATGGAGCCCATGAAGACAGCTTGTTACATCACATTTAAAAGAGAGAACAGTATTACCAGAAAGCACAGTAGAGTTTATTCTTCTGAGTCTGACATTTGGTATTGGAAAAGTAACAATTTTAATATTTGAAAAAATATTTCAGGGCAGAAAGGGTGATGTTTGCATTCAGAAGGATGTTACACATGAAATTCCCTGAAAAAAATAAGAAATACTATGCAAATACAGTTATTGTCCTTCCTCACACCTCTGTGCATAATTTGGGGACATGAGGTGGGGAGACTCCCAGTCAAGATTTGGTTTTCTTGACACTTTGGTGTCCCTGAATGTTACTTCAATTTACTGGAAAGTCAGAGTTCACAGAAATTCACACGGAGCAGAAAATAAAGTGAGGAAACACTTCAATTCCTCATTAATGTATGTTTTTTTACATAAAATGAAAACGCTTGATAAATACAGATCAATCTTGGAGGGAGTGCTGGTAGAGTGAGGGAAAGAAGTTTCCTCCATGGCCTTCTGGTGGAACAGAAGTACCCACTCAGGCTGTGGACCTAATGCTTCTCACCAAAAGCCAGAGCCGCCCAGTCCAGGTGGGCTCCAAGATTTCACAGGTGTCAGCTAACACTTCGCTTAGGCAGGCTAGCCTTGTGACTTACTGCCAGTGGCCTATCCCTGGAGGGATGGTTAATGAGGTTTGAAGTTCCATTTACATTTTTTTTTCAAAATCCTTTTCTCCTCCTTGAAGATGAAAAGTCAAGAGTTTCCAGATAAGCTTAGCTGGAGTGCATCCCACTTCTCTGAAGTTTAAGAATGGCAAAAGACACATAGGTAGAAATGCAGTAAGGGTAGGACATTTTAAAATATCCTCCTGTAACCTGTAACACGGTGCAGTAGTCCCCCCTTATCCAAGGGGAATGCGTTCTAAACCTCCAATGGATGCCTGAAACTGTGGAAAATGACAAACCCATATATATATATTACATATGTGTGTATATATATATATTTATTTATTTATTTATATACTATGTTTTTTCCAATACATACATACCTATAATAAAGTTTAATTTGTATGTTAGGTACAGTAAGTGATTAACAACAATAGCTAATTATAAAATAGAACAATTGTAATAAAAGTTATGTGAATGAGCTCTCTCTTTCTCAGAACATCTTATTGTACTGTACTCACCCTTCTTGTGATTATGTGCTACACTAAAATGCCTAGGGGATGCGATGAATGGAGGTAAATGATGTAGGCATTGTGACATAGCCCTCTGCTCTTACTGACCTTCTGACACTGTCAAGAGGGACTCTGTCTGCTTCTGAAATGTGGTTGACTGCAGATAACAAAGCACAGAAAGCAAAACCTCAGATAACAGGGAATGACCACATGGTTTGGAAGGGCATGTGTCCTCATAATGATGCCATAAATTTATCATACAGATCGTCCAGGTCCACCCCAAATTGTGAAGATTGAGGATGTCTGGGGAGAGAACGTTGCTCTATCATGGGTGCCACCGAGGGATGACGGGAACGCCGCCATTACAGGTTACACTATCCAGAAGGCCGACAAGAAGAGCATGGTAAGGTCTGGCCTTCTCTGGGTCAGCGGCAACAAAATCACATTTTATCAGAAGTGAAAGGAGAATGCATGAGGTCCTCTCTGGTGAGGAACCCCTCGGGGTTCTCAAGAAATGATGTGGCCTTGTGGGAAGAGTAAGGCCTTTGGAGCCACAGAGAGTTCGGCTTGATTCCCAGCATTGCCACCTAAGACCACATGTACATGGACAGTCACCTAACCTTTGTGATCTCCATTTTCCTCATTTATAAAATAAGGATATGGATACTTACATTGCTTGGTAATCATGAGGCTAATACTATATAAAGCAGATGGCACAAAGCTCAGTGGAATCCAATCAATTCATTTGTACAACAAATATTTACTCACTCTGGATTCTGACTCAGATTTACACCCATGGAACTCTTTCTTCTTGTCAAATGAATGTTTGAAAAGTATGGATAAAAAGCATGTGCAAAGGTACTTAGGAAGAAAGGACCTTAGGGCATTCAAGGAACAACTTGGTTGGAGTATGAATTATTATTGCTCATGTTTTATAAATGAGGAAACTAAGGCTCACAAAGGATAAGTGACTTGCTTGAGATCACCAGATTTTAGATATTAAAGTTTTTGTCTTTCTGAATCAGGGTCCAATATAGATCTTACTACTCCCCTACCTGTAAGTAAATGAATGAATAAATCAATGTTTGGACCCACAATGGCATCGAGCCATTTTCATTTTCATAGGAAGAATAAAACATCATTGTAATGATATTGACAAGAAGTCTTCAGGTATTTATGTTAGTAGATCTTAGTAAGAACTTAGGTTATGAAGTCACATCAGAGGGTAACTTCATAACCTAAATTATAAGGGTGAAGATTAGAAAGGGCAGTTTAAGTAACAAGAATGGATTTCTAACCTCTCTTTTTCATAAACTACTTCTAGCACATCTTTTTTTGTGTTATTTCTAGGTGGGTGTTACATTACTAAATAAGATTTAACATTTAAAGCACCATCTTTTACCTAACTATGAACAGCTTGAGAGCTAGACCAGGAGATGACTTTGCAAGGGAAGTATCTGAACATTTTGGATTTCCTTAGCAATAAGGGTTCTTCTTTGGACCTTAGGCCAGATACAGGCAGTGAATTAAGGGATGCCATGGCTCCTAAAGAGGGCTCTGCAGGCCCCGCCCTCCTGCTTCCACCCCCAGCATCCTTGCCCATCATTTGTCTTCTTACACTAAGTATCTAGTTAAGTCCAAGCGACCCAGGACTTTCCCCCTGTTTTGTGTGCCTGAGGCCTGCCTCATGAGGGGATGGTCCCACCCCATGCCCCTCTGTGTATCTATTGCATTTCAGCAGGGACAGACCTTCCAGGAGATCTCACTCTGCCCAGTGCACTTCCCAGGAGATCACTACACCATTGTCTCCTTGTGGCTACAGATGTTATTCTTCACTCAAATTCTTATGGTCATTCATAACTTCCATAATTATTGTTTTCATAATGTGTGCCAACCCATTCATTTTTCCATTCATTTAGTATGTGTTGAGCACTGTTTTAGCTGCTGGATAAAAAAACAAACAAACAAACAAAAACCAGGAAAAGACAGCTCCTACTTGTGAAGCATTCGCAGTCTAGTCAAGAAGACATAAAACCAAATGATAAAAAAATACAGTAAGTGGTGGAATAAAGGCTTATATAACACGGTTTGGGAATAAAGGAGGGCATAACTCCATTTGTCTGATGGCTTAAAAATATCCAAAATACAGGGTTAATGATGGTCCCTAAAAGTTCTAAGGAAAATTTTTTTCCTTTTTTTAACCTTTTCTCAGCAAATGTACTTTCTGTTAGTGGTACTAAACATGCATGGTACAATGTGACTTTCTACTGGTTGCAAGATAAACTTTGAAACCACTATTTTTCTTGGTATGGTGAGGAAAAAATTGAGAAAGAATCTGCTAGTTTTAGCTTCTCATTCATTCAAGTATTCTATAAGCAGTTTTTAAAATTTTGCATGCTGAACCTTCTACGTGCCATGTATCATGACGGGCACTAAGATACGGGACATGAGAAGAAAAGTCCATCTTTACCATCATGTTGTGTCCATTTCAGTGAGAGAAGTAGAGAGTAAACAAATAAAATTGTGAATATATAATACAATTTAAGGTAGCAAGTGCTATATAGAAAATTAAACCAGGGTTCAGTGATAATGTGTAACCAAAGTAGGGTGGTGAGAAGGTAAACAGTTAGGGAGAAAGTAATATCTGAGCAAAGACCTAAAAGAACATAATATTAGGCAAAGTTATTGGATGATATTAATTTTTCTTTAGTGATTTAGCATCAACTCTTCTTCAAAATAGATAAGTCAGCACCAAACTTCTGTAATTATACTTTGTTATACAAAAGACAGTTAGGCATACGGGTAAGTGGATAAATGACAGACCCTACGGTTATGAAGAAAATAGAAAGGTAGTAGTAGTTGATATCTAGGGTATATGGATCTAATGTGCAAATGAAGATTAAATGACATTTTAAGTGTTAGTAAATTAGAAACTCTTAAATAAATTAAATGTGCATTGTTATTACTCTCACTATGAAAATTGTGCTATTTTTCTTTTAGTCGATGAAACAAACGTTCCTGTTATGTATCCCAGTCAGCAGTTGGAGTAGTTGTGTATTTTCAGATGATTCTCCTCAAATTATTATATTTTCTTTCAGGAATGGTTCACCGTCATCGAGCATTACCACCGAACCAATGCCACCATCACTGAACTGGTCATAGGAAATGAATACTTCTTCCGGGTCTTTGCTGAAAACATGTGTGGCCTCAGTGAGGATGCAACAATGACGAAAGAGAGTGCTGTGATTGCCAAGGATGGTGAGTTAGCAGTGGACCCCACCAGGGTGGGGGGTGGGGGGTCCGGACACGATTCCAGCCTGTGGGGGGCTCTCAGACACCAACTGGATGGCCTACAATTCAACTCAGTCTGACAATGCCAGGAGAGAGCGTTGGGTCCCACAGGAGAAGGGCTCAGTTCCACAAGACTGCCTCCCCACCCCCATCCCCCCACCTCACCCCCCACCACAGCACTTCAGATGTCACCTGAGCTTCTGACAGGCTATAAAATCAGAGGTTCCAATGACCCCCTACTCAGATTCCAGGAATTTGCTAGAGTGGCTCCTGGTACTCGAAGAAACATTTTACTTGGTAGATCATTGGCTTATTATAAAAAATTTATTGTAACTCAAGAAGAGCCAGACGAAGGAGATGCATAGGGCACGGTATAGGGAAAAGAGCTTCCACACTCTCTGAGAGAGCCCCTCTCCCAGAATCAGAAGGTGTTCACCAACCTGGAAGCTCTCTGAACCTGCTTCATTACACAGGCGTGATGGATTAACTCAGTGGTCCCTCGTGACTGAACTCAGTCTCCTGCGCTTCTCCCCTCCGTGGGCATCTGGAACTGAAAGCCTCCATTCCCTAGTCACCTGGTTGGTTTCTCTAGCAACCAGTCCCCATCTTTGAGTGCCTAAATTGCAAAAGACCTCATTAACATAACAGAAGACCGCTTTATAGCTCTCATCACTTAGGAAATTTCAAGGGTTGTAGGAGCTCTGTGTCAGAAGTGGGGCAGAAGACCAAACACATATTTCTTACTATAAATCACAGTATCAAACTGGACATCTGGGAGCCATGGTTTTCAGTGGTAAATGGAGAAGACAGAAAGAGGAAAAGAGATGGCAAAAGAGAATAAGAAAACAAAGGGCACCCAATTTTAAATGGTGGTAAAAATATCTGAGTGAAATGCAATTTTGCAAGTAAGGCTTTTCAAGGAAAATTAAATTATTATTGCATTCTTAAAAACACAAGCTTTACTAATTACAACCCTTAAATAGAATTTGTGCCTCATATCGAATTTACCGAGTATCATAATTCCTCCAAGTGGTAAAGATACCTCGAGACAAGTGCTGGGCATAGAAGCCACAGGGCATAAATCTGCAAAGAAGTAAAAAGCTAACCTTTTCAAACAATATTGCTTCTCTCTCACTTACCAACTTTACATTTCCCTGTATGGCCCCGGAAGATGACTGGTTAGCCAGAGACGGGTAAGATTCCTCAAGGGAGGAACAACCTAAGACAGGCACAGTCGCAGGGGGGCCATCAGGTGAGAATTTGGGGATCAACAGAGGTGAGGCTCAGAACCTCACCCCCCCTGCTTTGAGAGAAATCTTCTGCATCCGTGGATGTCTTGCTGCCCTTGTCTAGCCTGGATTAATACTTAGTCCATAGGCACACACCTGATCATCTGATCATCTACATTTGCCTTCTTACAGCACTAAACTATGTTTTCTACCTTTATCTTGCATCTACCTACCACTTCAGCATTTTATTAAAAATAAAAATAATAATAATAATAAAGGGAGAAATGTGGGATCCACATATAAATCAAGTATAAAAATCAAATGAATATTCATATTTGACCTGATTGTTTATAATTCATAATGCGTCATCAGAACCGAAAGTTTCTGTGAGGAATGCCCTTGTACTGTTCACCATGTAAGAACTTATTCACTATGTCAGAATTCGTTCACTATGTAAGAACTTGTTCATTATGCTTCAGAAGATTGGAGACTGACGAGAACTAGGTTTGAGATGGATTAATGATTGTGCATTGAGCATTGACCCCCCTATACAGAATTTTATTGTTGTTAACAACCATTTGATCAATAAACATGAGAGATGCCCTCTCAAAAAAAAAAATTCCATTATGTATATGTACCACTTCTTTCCCCATTCATCTACTGATGGACACTTTGGTTGCTCCCATATCTTAGCTATTATAAATAATGCAGCAATAAACATAGGGGTGCATATACAAAAAAAAACACAAGCTTTAATCCATTCCAACTTCAGTGGGCCATACATGGCTAAAATCACAGGGGTAGGAAAAAGCAGACATTCACTTCTCAAGCTTGGGTTGCTTTTATTCTGGGACCCCTTTAGTGTAGCTACCCATGAGACCTGCTCTGCAAGGAAAGGAGAAGCTGAATTCCATCCCTATCACTTCATTTCCTCATAAACCACTCTCCTGAAAGCTCTATCCCACTGCCTTCGCATTAACACATTGTTCATCAAAATACTCAGACACCAAATTCTTAATACTTGTTGCAGTTTCAGACAGTATCTGGCTTTCTGTCGCACGTGTGATGGGCTGGACACTGTGCCCTTCAGAATCACTGCTGTGCGGCGTTCACTCATAGTGTTTCCAATTTTTTCTAAGCTCGGGGAAGTTTTAATTGTGAATAAAGTATGCCAATAATGATATGTGTCTCAGGCCAATTTGTATATTTCTAATACTTGCTTTTAAGGGAAAATCTACAAAAATCCAGTGTATGAAGACTTCGATTTCACAGAGGCACCCATGTTTACTCAGCCTTTGGTTAACACCTACGCTGTAGCTGGTTACAATGCTACCCTGAACTGCAGTGTGAGAGGAAATCCTAAGGTACCATGTTCTGTTTTATTTTATCACATTAGTTAAGTGTAAGAATTAACCCAGACTTCCTCTTTTATATTAGACAAATTGTAACTGTAAATAACACTGTGAATTGATCACCCAACTGTCTTTTTCTGGGATAGAGAGTAGGACACAGGGTGGTAGTGTTGGCAGATAATTAAGTGCACTGTTTAAATAAATAGTAAAAAGTGCTCACAATTCTTTACTAAAGAATACCTTCTAAGGAAAAACTAAATCACCTATCTTTAAAATAACTGACAGATAAGGAGATAGAAGAAATACTGGCTCACCTGAAAAATTTGGTGGTAATATTGATTCATCAAATTTCTGAAACAGATTGAAGCAAATAATGATGATATTCTAATACAAGGCAGAAGTTTACATGTGCTGCGGTAAGAGCACAGAGTACTAGGAAGGGAGAAATCGCTTCTGATTAAAGAGCTTTAGGAAGGTCTTAAGGTTTCTTGTTGGCATTTGAAAAGAACAACAAAATAAAGAGTGCTGCCCATAGGGAAATCTGTGCCTGGGTGCACTAAGGGAAAGCTCGCTAGAATCTGGAAAAATTGCAAACAGTGGTTGTAACTCCAGGTGGGGTGGTGGTGGTATATTTTCCCAGCCTGGGGCAAAATACCTTTGAACCTCAATCAATCAAAGGGAGAAATAAAGTGGGAGAAACCTGTTTACTGTTTACAAGCAGTCTGTCCACTTCTGCTCACCAGTGTCTCTTGCCACCCAGCTGCAAAAAGGGACCGCCCCCCACCCCTTCTCCGGCTCCGATCCAGATACGCCCTCGCTCCCCCTGGTAATTACCTATTGATGTGGAGGTGGACTACTTCTCTCCTCCCCTTGGAAACACCTCTTGATATGGAGATGCCAGGAAAGAGAATCTAGAAATATTGCAATTTTACCCACAGTTGTGTTTTCCTTGCAATACACCGTGAACAGAAATAGATAACTCAACTGGAGAGGCAGACTGAGGATGGGAAGAAGATCCTGAATTCATTTTTAATCGAAAGTGACGTCAGTACACCCAAGTGAGAATGACCAGGAGGCAGAGGAGAGGCTCACGGGAGGAGAGGAGAGAGGCCAGGGCGCTGACGCACGCACAGTTCGGGAGTCCCAGGCACGGAGGGGCTATCTTCTATCCTTCGGAGCTGAAGTTCTAGAAAGGAGCATTATTGAGAAAAGAAGGTAGTGAGCAAAAAGCAAAAGATGAAGGTGTGAACCTCAGTGAATGCGCCCCCTTGGAAAGAGGAAAGAGGCAGTGTGAAGGAGACACAGAGGCATGTCTATAGGGTCTGAGCAAAGCAAAACCGTCCAAGAGGTGGAAGAGAGAATGCAGAGGGTGTGCATTTACCAAAGGAAGGAGAAGGGAGTGGAGGCCAGTGGTATCAGAGGTAGTTCAGGAGTCAAGGAGGATAGAGTCACCTTCCTGGACAACTGGAGCATTACCAATCTTGCATTATATGGAGTATCCATTTCCACTGGATGGTGAATATGATAATGGATTTAATTATTAAATTTTTAATAGAGATTAAATGGTGAGGAGGCATAAACAGCTCAGAAAGAATTATAAAAGGAATAGCAAAAAAACAATGTGGAGAAAATCAGATGGTTGTGATAACGTTATGGGGATTCTCTGAAAAATGTCCAACAATATACACTCTCTAGGATGCAATGACTTCAGGAACGTGTAAAGCATTTGGGAGGATTGCCCCAGAGCTGTCCTCTGAACAAACCTGGCTTGCTTCTTGAGAACTGGCCATTTGCTTTCTTGCCAAGCATTAAGTTGAATTTAATTTGAGAGAACGAGTGCTCAAATCAGTGTGGATCCTTCTTAAATACACTTTCTTTCTAAGCCATGCTTTAAAATTGTATCCCAGGCTTTGATAGTCTGTTAGGCTAAGTGCAGGTGTGTTTTAACCTAATTTACTTCAATCTTAACTACAGCCCAAAATAACCTGGATGAAAAACAAAGTTGCTATTGTGGATGATCCAAGATACAGGATGTTCAGCAACCAGGGGGTCTGTACTCTGGAGATTCGCAAGCCCAGCCCCTACGATGGAGGCACTTACTGCTGCAAAGCAGTCAATGACCTTGGGACAGTGGAAATCGAGTGCAAACTGGAGGTGAAAGGTATGCCATATAAACTAAAATGAAAGAAAACCATTCCATTATTGTCCTTACTGCAAAATACAAATTGTTTGCCAAAATGTTAGGGGGTTGGCAAGGAAAGGGAGGGAGAATTCAGGGAGAATACATTTTTGCAATCTACATTCACTTGGATTTACTGAAGTAGACTTCTTTTCATCTCTTGCAATTCTTGTTCACTAAAGGAATGTTAGTTTCAGTGGAATGGTGGTAAGAATGAACGGGTCAAAGAGATATTGCTTTGGTGATGTAGTCCATCTCTAAATAGAAGCCTAGTTTAAAAGCTCATTTAATGAAATCACAATTAAGGAATTTACACTATTATTAATTCATTTACTATTTTGTGAAACTTCCTATAGGTATATTTGGATAAGTTTGCTAATTTAGTGTTTTAACATTATGCATATAGAATATAGCATATACATATTATAACCAGTTGCTTTTCAAATCTCACAAGAGAATTTCTATTTATAGGCATGCATTTCATTTATACTAGTTTTCAGAAGCGTTACAACTAGTGTAAACCAAGAAAACATACAAGGATTTACATGCTAGAAAAGTCTCAGAATAACCTGTCGTATCTTAATCAATTTTTCATATTAATTGAGTATAGTTTTTATATGAAAGTTTTCTCTTGACAAGCAAAACCTACTTTGGGACATCATGAAAACTCCTACAGCTGTCATCATCATTATGAGACGATAGGTGACATGATCCTAATGTCTCTTCTCTCGTTCTTATTGCATTATATTGCCTTTCTGTGACAACCGAAGTCTGGTTTTTCTTATATCTCTATAATGAAGAAGTTATGATCTAAAAGTCAGAAAGATAACTTTGTAAATATCTATTTTATAAAAAATACAGTAAATGTTTACAGTATTTTAGTCCTAAATCTACTATAAATAGAGTAAAGAAACATATTGAAAAAATTTCCTTTTACAACTTTAAAAAAACAGTGTTCTTTCTCTTGTGATTTCTTTCTATCCTCAGGTAATACAGTATAGTAGATTCGGAGTTGAGTGAGAGTGAAGAATTCTCCAGTTTTTATCCTCTCCTATGTAAAACAATCTTAGAAAAATGTTAAACCTTACTATTGAGATAGTGCTCACAAATTGAGATGTTATTATTTTAGCTGTTTATTTAGCTTTAAATGCAGATTAAGTTCACCGTTGCAAATACATCTGGTTTCTAACCTTGTAGCATTATTAGTTCCATGGCATTATTGGTACTTTTGCCTCAACATCCACAAAAGAGACCAAGAAAAATCCCAGTACCACTTCCATGTGCTTTGAATATAACTGAATGTTGCTAATGATACAAAATGATGATTTCATAAACAGTACAACATTTGGGGTCCTCCATAAAAGCACACATCATGTTATACACATAGATGATATATTCTTTCTAATAATTGTATAGTAACTGAATCTAATAATAAAAATAATGTATTTTAGTACATAAATTCATGATAAATTATCAAATGTGATATATTAATAAAAGCTTTTGGTCCCAAAAAGTAAAGCCAAGATTGTTTATCATCAGATTGTTATGTGATAATAGGTGACTTGAATCAAGTTAAGCTGTGAAAAAAAAAAAAAAGGTAAGAAAGTCAACCAAGAATAAATAAATACCCGTACAAATATTCTAATTCTACAGTGATATATCAAGGAGTAAATACCCCTGGACAACCAATCTTCCTGGAGGGGCAGCAACAGGTTTTAAAAGTTCATATCCCACTGGATATTTCTACTTGCTGTTCCATTCCTCTTACATGAAATCTCACTTTGCATGTAAAGCTTGACTTTCTCATTTGCTTGTAATTGTATTTCTTAGTGGCTCATGGCATACAGTGTTTATGCCATGACCAAGGAAGGCCAAATTATTCAAGGACATTGAGTAATGTAGGAACTCAGTTTTGCCAGAAAACTAAACACCATACCACAGGTCCCCATAAATTAAAGCCAGGAGGCTACATTTGAAGATGACCCGTTTTAGACATGAGATTATCAAAATTTAAGTATCAGTGGAACTTCTTCAGTATTTTCATTTTCAAAATGTAGACAGAGATGATCTTCCTTTAAGGTAGCTTCCAGTTGTAGTTGCCTTCGATTCTTGTTGAAATTCAGAAAAATGTGTCTTCTTAAATTGATAAGTTATAGAAAAAAATGTATTCTGGGGATTTTTGATGGGGAGAGGACACAAATTGCAATTTTTGGAATATTTAGATCCAATATTTGGAAACTTCCATATTTAAGATTTCCCAATGAAAAAACTCACTAATAGAATCTTATAACCCATCTATCTGCTGGATATTTTGGCTATTTCCATAAGATCAAAATTATTTCATATATTCAGGAACTTAAAAGAAAATTCTAGGCCCCATTACTAAATGTATTAAGTGATAGATGGGTTCTATCATATATGCATGATTTACCCCCATTTGGGAGAATGAATTAAGAAGTTCTTTGGGGCTGGGTAAGCAACCCGACGTAAACCCTGATGATAGAGAGCTTACACCTGAGTTTACAATAGTTCCTCTCTGAATTCCCAGAGGTACTGTCAGCTTTCAAAAGAGGAAAGAATTAAGGCTCTTTCTTTTAAAGTTTTGTAGATTATACATGTAAATCACTTTCCAGTTGAAGTTTGTTTAAGCCTTGTGTTTATTTAGACCAGTCATATATATATAATCAGTTGAGAACACAATATTATAGAATATACTAGTCTAATATTTATATCTACTTGATAATTTTGCCTTTTAGAATTTCAACATATATATATGTACACTAATGCTTTGTCTTTCGTCTGTTTTTCTTTTGTTGAAAAACACTATATATATATGTTGTAGGGGTTTTTTTTATAAGCTAATGGTTTGGAAGCTCTTACTATAAATATTCATTGTACAATCGAATTGGCTTTGCCACCTTTTCCGGCGAAGTGGTTGTGCATATTAATAAATGTGTTACATATTAATTATCCTTTTGAAGTGACTGGATCCCTGCCCTTCATTCCATGCGCTCCTATTTTCCTATATCTTTCACAAGACTAAGGATTAATGAAATCACCTCATCATAATCATGACCATAATTTCACCCAACAAGTACTCAACTTTGGTTTTAGCACTTTATTAATGCTTACAACTTCTCTCTCTCTTTCTCTCTTTCTCTTTTCTTTAGTTGTAGCACAATAAGGATTTTTGAATGTATATTATCATCTAAGGTAAGCTTTCATATGGTTTCGGCATATGAAGCTTATGACCATCATAAGCCATACAAAGCCTGTGGAGTATGGCATGATTTTCATTATGTAATCCAATGAAAATAGGCTATTTAAAACCTCTAACTTTATAGTTGTAATTTGTATTTCAGTATCTTGAAATTAACAGCTAGTACTTATTCCTCGCAACCATCTCCTGTTGACATGAAGCAAGTTGTTGAATGCAGTAGAGCATGAATTACAGCATTTAATGTAGATGAAAACGAGTGATATGCAAGCATTCTGAACTCTTTGCATCAAGGAATGGACATGTACATAAGTGGCATCACTTCTACCAATATGTGACTTGAATTTTTTTTAAAAAAAGGAGAATGACTTTCCCAAATTTGCATTAAAGAAGTTTTAAGAATGTTCAAATGGCATGCTGTTTTTGTCTGGATGTGAATTTATTAGCAAATAATGAAGCACTTCTGTAAAGGACCATGAATTTTTATGATTTCCTGCATTCTCTTGGGAAGGGTACTTTTATTTTTAAAATATAATTCAGAAACACAGAAGGTAAGTACAAAATATTCATAGGTGTTTCTCTCACCCTCAGAAGGTACTGGACAGGTTTTACTGTTACAAAATAGTTCCAGTTTCTGCACTGTTCACGGTGTCTAAGAGCCCTAGTTAAAGGAGGGGAGTAGTCTGTTTTTCTTCTCCAGTGTGCCTGGGAACTCTTTGTGCTTACTTAGAAAGAACATTAACAACAGAAACAGTTCTCCCCACCGATTCAGAACACAGTTTGTATTTATTCTGCCATTCAGTCAGAACACTGAAATCATCTACAGAGGAACCCCAGAACCTCTTGAAGAGCAGCAAAGACTTACCAGTCAGTTAGGAATTCAAACTAAGATTGAATAAGAGCAGGGAACCAAAAAAAACTGCTGTGGGTCTCCCAGGAATTTGCTTTTCCTTCTAGATGCCAAGTGCTTTAAGTTCTAAGTGTCCTAAACCCAGGAGAAGATTTCCAAGTAGGGACTGAATGAATCGTTATAACTCACTGGAACATAATTAGTCACATTTCCAGGCAGCTAGTGAAGAGGTGTTCTTTCCGTGAATTTTTTGTGTAGACAGTTTTGACTTTGCCTTTTCCTTTTTGTCCTCTCCAGGTGGACTGTCCTTCTGCAGGCTCCTCTTGCAAGGTGTGCCGCCTAACATAATTGATGCATATTTGCGAGACTTGCAATCAAGCAATCCTGAGGACTAGTAAGGGCCTGGGCACTGCTCTCTACATGCCACTGCTTTGAAATCTGGTTGCATTGAGAAAGCTTTTTCTGTTTTTCTGCCAGGCACCCAAGTGTGGTCATTTTCTTTCCTCCTAAAGTTGAAGAAAAAAAATGTTTGCTCCGATTACTTAATTAAAAATGGCAAACAGAATCTCATTTGAAGTCAGCATTTTGGTCATTATTGTCTGTACTTGGCCACTGTACTTTACAAAAAAATCAAGCTGTAGAATAGGTGAAAACAATTATTTTAGTTTAAAATAGAAGGCTATATATGCTTTTTTTTTTCTCCAGAGTAAGACACATAGAATAATGCACAGTGGTACAATCTTAAAAACCCACCTTTCTCTTCATCTAATAGATCTTCCTAAGCAAAGCAGAGTTGTTTATTTCCCACAACCATGTTTAACACCAGTGAATCTGTACTTTTTTCGCATTTGAATTCACCAAAAGGCTTCTTAAAGTCTTTCGGACAAGTTTTCTCAACAGAAGGGATAATGTACTCAATAAATGGTACAATGAATCTGAAGTGTATGTGATGAGATAACACAGTATTTGTTTACGTGTTTGGAGTTGTGCGCTCAGAAAGAATTGAGGACAAAAGGCTGGGGGGGTCAGGATGCTACCAAACTCAGGCCTGACCTCCATCGCGTGTCTGGCATGGCATCCTGGTCGAATGTCCGAATCTCCCGCCAAAACAGCCCCTCATAATGACAGACAGCTGTTGCAGACTACAGAGCAGTTACAGATTTAGGGGTTGCTGGCAGCATCCATTCAAACTGAGGGAGCTTTCTTCAAAATCTAGACGCTGAGAAACATTTGTAACAAGCCCATAATCTTATAGCAGCTTCCTTCACTGTTCCTGACAGAGAGAAAGTGTCAATTAAGGGAGTGTAATCAAGTGTGAGTAAAATACCACACCATTATTTACTTCCTTGCCTCTCCACCTTTTTTCCTGTTGGTCTTTTGTTCCAGGAGCTAAATGTATTGTGACCTGTAGGTGGGCCCACAGCTCTGAGACACCATTTTAAAATATCTGCTCTGCATCCTTTCCAGGCGAGAGCTGGGAGGTTGTGACTGTGATCGGCTCCCTGGGCTGGTGTGGAGGGAAGGAGAGGACGGTCGGGGTAGTGACACTGCACGGCGCACAGTAAGGGGAAGCTCAAGCTCTTGTCCAAGCTGTGGTGACTGCCTCTTTTTCTGTCCTGTTGGTGACCTTGCCTTACTAGTTGTTAAGAATATCAGCTATCATCCCAGGGTCTCAAGGACTCTGTAATAATAATGGGTGCAATCCCTATGTAAACCCCCATTTTAGGCAGGAAATCTATTTACACATTATTGACTAAGGAATTTTCCACAAAAGAAGTCCGGCTTATCTTTAAAGACTTAAAGGTCATATATCTACACGCAAACCAAATAAACAATAGTGTGGCAAAACCAATCGGTGTGGCGCCTGCAGCCTGGCTTCTGGGTCAGAGTCCCATGCAAAGCTGGGCTGCTTGCCTCATTCAAGCACTCACCCGCCAGTGTTGCCAAGCCACGGTCAAGTTCGTTAGGCTATTTGTGAACATTGCCTGAAAGTGACTAGAAAGCATCCTTACAAAATAGTGGATCTCCAGTCATGACTTAGCCTCTCACTGTACTTTGTAGTAGATAAGGTCATTTTTCCACATGTGATCTCTCGTGTTAAGGGTACTCATACACCACAACGTTCCGGAAAGGAAGAAAAGGTCTATTTAGAAACTATGAAGGGCAAAAAAAATCAGAAGTGGTCATTGCTATTTGCTTTCCTACAACTTTGTTCTAATTTTGTTTACATTTCACTGTAGTAAAGAAAAATCATATTATAAGAATTTGCCAAAAATTCTAGGGGGAGCTAAGCACTCTTTAAAATGCTTAAAGGATCACATTTATTTCCTTACTTTATAAGAAAGCTTAGCGGATGTTTTTATCCAAACTGATACAGATATAGAAGAAAAAAACACTATTTTCAAGAAACACTGGAACAAGTTAATATGTCTGCAACCACTCATTTTTAAATTGAATTCTGGAGCATTCTACCCAACAAATGAGTTACTGAATGCCTGATGGGTGCATGTGATGAATTCAGCTAAGAACCCAAAGACGAATAAGCCACTTCATGCCTTCAAGGAATTTATAACATATAAGACTAGTACATAGAACCAGAGTGGTCTTCAGATGTAAGAGCACCATAAAGATGCAGAAATTATATAATGCGGCTATTACCCATGTATGTATTGCCCTAGGATGGAGTACAGGACATGGCACATGATACTATTTTTCTAAATCAAATTAAATATGACTCTGAGCTCCTCACTAGCCAAGGATTTTGAGAAATTTTCTCTGTCCTGCTTAGGGGTCCTACCTCAGGCCCTGGGTCAAATGGAATCTTTCCTGGTGCCTAGAAAATGGAGAGAAGGAAAGTCTCTCCATTTCAGTCTATACTGGTGGCTTCAGGGACCTGTGGCTCAACCCAGTGTGGCCACTCAAAGACAGGTGTCTCTGAAACTTCCGGGACAAGGTGGACTTGGAGTCTTATCAACCTCCAAGGTCAGAGCTTGGCTATTTACCTGCTACTTCTAAGATGTTCTTTACGGAAACACTGGACAGCTTTATCGCTTAGTACCCCCCTTGGGCTTGGCAAGAGGAAGCTGTCCACTTGCGAGAGCCTCACTCTGGCCCTCCTCCACCCACGTCCCTCCACAAGGCAGGGAGGCCATGGAGCCAAGAGGGGGTGCCTACTTGGAACCCTTACTACAAACCCCCTCCTTATTGACTGCCCCCAAGCTCACTTTTGGGGACTTTACAGGTTTTTTTCTGGGTTCGTACCCCCAAGAAAGAACCATGTAGCCAGTTTCTGCATCCTGAGACCCAAGAGGTGGCCTAGAGGCACCTGTTTGCCAGGTGGTTGGGGGCAGGGGATGTGGCTAGAGCTTGTGCATGAGGCTGGGGCACCTGCACGCACACCCTCGAGACCCGTCATGGTTGATGCAAGGAGTGGGGATGCACACAGCAGCGAGACCAGAGACTGGCAAGTATCCCTCGAGAACCTGATAATTTTATTCAAACCTGGCCTTCCAGGTCATTATGAGGCTGTCCTCATGAAGACTAGAGAATACAAACATTTTATTAACCATCTGTTAGCTTGGTTTATAACTTCTTCATACTTATGTACATGAGCTATAAAAGTTAGGGGTTAGCCCCAACCACCTCCATTCCCTTTCCTGTATCCTCTCCTCCCCAGCTCCACCATCTAGGGTCACCCACCTGTCCACTACCACCACTTCCTCCTTCCCACCCAGCTCACCCAAGTCCAGGCCTGACCCTCCCCTTCCTTCCTCACTTAAGTTCCCCTGAATAGAATTCTACAAATCCAGGTTTAGCCTCTTTTTCCTGGGAGTAGGAGTAGAATAAGGAAGAATAATATCAGAGTCTTGTTACCGACTCTCCCTGCATTAATTATATGGTACATATATATTTGTAGAGCATAAATAACTGATTCTAAGTTGAACTCTACATTTGTTTTACTTCCTTATTTTAGCCAGGCCTCTAACTGCCATTCTTGCATCAAAGATTTGGTGATTGCTACATGCAGATATTTATAAATCCTTTGTAATTAAAATTTGATAACTTAGAATGGACTAGAGAAACACACCCACGAATGGAATGACCGGTTCTCCTGATTCTAAGAGCTGTCAGCACTCTCTTAAAAGCATGTGATGATTTCTTTCTGTCTCCAAATGCACTGACCTGCATCTCTACCCTTGCTCAATATTTTTCTTGTATCTGGAGTAGATTACTAAGAACAAAATACGAGAGGCAACAGGATAGTTAAACACTCCCAGAGGGGCCACTCAGAGTGTGGCCTTGAGCACTGGCTGGCTCAAGGCATTAAATGAGAAAAAAACTTTGCACTCAAGTACATAATCAAGTGTAACTTCTTTTTCTCCAAAGTAATAGCTTTAGAAATAATCTTTCTGCTCTTGTAGATAAGCACTTACACAGCTACCCACAAAGAAGTGATTCCTTCCTTTGCTGCTCTACTCTCACCTTCATCCTAGTTCTAGAGCCCAAGAAAACAGCTTAAAGACATTATACACCAATTGAAAAACCTTGGCATAAAAATTTTCAAAGTTAATTAAAAAGAAGAAAGAAAACCTAAGGGTTCCCAGCAACACTGTGGCAAGGAAAAGAATCATTATTCAGACTTTGTAAGACATCCCTCATGGACAGTTGGGACAAAGGGTAATTGGAAATAAGCCATGTTGCAAAATAAACCAAAGCTGATATGAAGTCATGTGGTCATTTGGAAAATTCCAGGCACTAGACAGCCAAATAATGTGTTCCTTGCCGGCTATGGGATGAAATGCCATGGGGCTGGTCATCCCAGCCCCTCTCCTGAATATCCACTGGGGGTCATTGGAAATTCAGTTCCCATTCCCTCACTGGGAGGTACCACAGAGCTGGAAGCAGGTGGGGTAAAACTGGAGGGTGCCAAAAGGAAGCAGAGCATGGAGGGGTGTTTTTATGCACTTCTTAATAGTTTTTAGTTAGGGTTCCATAAACATTAACTAGCACAAGAGGTTCATTGGTGAGCTGAGTTTTTCTCTGGGTCTTTCCACCATCGGCAAGCCCTTAGGGTGGCAAGCCTGAACTGCTTTCAGTAAGTCCACTCCCTGAGAAAGCTGAGCAAGAGTGATGGGCAGATTGGGAGGGTGCGGCAAAAAGGGGCTTAATGAAGGCCAAGAACCAAAATCAACATCAAGCAGGAGGGAGAAAAGGACAGACTAACACACTACTGTTTGTACAGAGGGAAGGGCAGTTAAACGCGGCAAGAAAGAAACAAGCCAGAAAAAACCTCCCCTGACAGGGAACTAAAGAAAGAGGAAATGGCAATGAGAAAATCAACAATGAAAAGGGCACCTCCTCAGGTGCTTTACAGGCATCACCTCAGTCCCTGGCTCCCGATCCTATGGAACACAGGGAAACCGTGGACAGGCCAGAGAGCATAGCCTGAAGCCGTGGCCACAGCCCTCATGTGCTAATTTTTCAAATTATCCACATGGTGTGTCCTTCCCTGTGATACAGGAGTTTACTTTACTAGAAATCAATTTTTTCTTTCCAGATTCTCAAATGGATACTGTTCCAGGCATTTGTCAGGGAGCTAAAAGTGTGTCAGTCTGGGAAGCACAGCAAAATCTCGGAAGAACCTCACCATCTATCTATCATCTATCTCCCTATCCCTTCTTTGCCCTGGAAAAAACAGCCGGTAGTGAAATTAAGTGAGCCAAGCTGGTCTTTCTCTCCTTTAATTGCCTTCAGTCCCTTCTACCTTGATTCTGCCCCACTGCCTTTCTGCCTGGGGCTCAAGGTCTTGCTCAAAGCAGTGCTTCCACCCCAGCCTCCCAAGACTAAATGCTGCAGTCTCTCACTGCTGAGAAGGTGGTCCCCGTGACCAGCCGCATGGGGGTCACTCTGAGGGAAGAGAACTCTCAGCCACAC